AAAATGGAACTCCCATTTGAAGCTGTGATCCCACTTCTAGGAATATTCCCAAGAAACCTGTAACTCCATCAGAAGAGGATATGTGCACTCCATCATGTTTCATAGCAGTACAAATCACCATAGCTAAGATCTGGAAGCAGCCTATGTGCCCATCAGTAGATGAATGGATTAGAAACCTGTGGTACGTCTGCACGATGGAATACTACGCTGCTGTAAAAAAGGTATTCTTACCAACTTGCAACAGCATGGATGGAACTGGAGAGCATTATGCTAAGTGAAATAAGCCAGTCAATGAAGGAAAAATCCACATAATCTCACTCATTCATGGACAATAAAGACCATTATAAACTTATGAACAAAAATAGATACAGAGGCTGAGCTGCCTCAAACAGACTGTCAAACTGCAGTGGGAAGGCCAGGGAGGGTTGGGGGGCAGGAGGGAAGGGGGTAAGAGATCAACCAAAGGACTTGTATGCATGCATATGAGCATAACCAAAGGACATAAGACACTGGGGGGCAGGGGAGGCCAGGGGATTGTCAAGGGTGGGGGGAAAAAGGAAACATATGTAATACCCTTTGTAATACTTTAAGCAATATATATATATATATAAACAAGTGAAACTAATGTTAGCTGGATAGGAAAGCAAGAGAAGATACTGAGGGTAGGAGCCATGAATTTAACCATGAAAATCATTCTTGTTTCAAAATGAAATAATGGACACAGAATTTCAATTTGGGATAAAAAAATTAGTTCTGGAGCCAGACAGTGGCAACAGTTGCACAACAATGTAAATGTACTTTAATGTCACTGCACTGTACACTTTGAAATGATAAATTTTATATGTATAAATTATCACAATAAAAAATAAACATCTGTGGCAGGTACAGATGTTATTTGCATACTGCCTTAGATTGTCTCAGAATAATATATTTTCTATGGAAGAAAGTAGCTTTAAAAATCAAATTTCAGCCGAACCGGTCTGGCTCAGTGGATAGAGCGTAGGCCTGCGGACTGAAGGGTCCCAGGTTCGATTCCGGTCAAGGGCATGTACCTTGGTTGCGGGCACATCCCCACTGGGAGGCGTGCAGGAGGCAGCTGATTGATCTCTCTCATCGATGTTTCTAACTCTCTATGCCTCTCCCTTCTTCTCTGTAAAAAATCAATAAAATATATTTTTAAAAAATCAAATTTCAACTTATTGAGAATAAAGAGAGAGTATTTCCTCTTATCATGGTTCCAAACTTGAGCGTGTATAACAGTCACCTATAAACATGGAGATCATGGGACCCAGGAATATTATGTTACTTGTTTCCCTGTTCACTGACTTACTTTAAGCCTGTACCATAGGTAGGTAAACTGCTGCACATGAATAAGGAGGGATGCACAAAGTTGTTCATTGCAGCACTATCCATTAGAGCCACACAATGCAAGCAACACATTGCAATCAATTAGGAATAGATCCATATCATAACTAACAGTCAAAGTAAATAAATTAGATCTTCACATTTAGACATGGGGGGAATTTTAAAAATATAATTTTAAGCCAAAAAAAGCAAGTTGCATAATGACTGTACATTATGATACTATTTGTACAAATATTTAAACACCTTATTTGGGGATACCTGCATATGCAGTAAAAATGTAAAAATACAGAAGCAGTTATCTTTGGGGAGGGAAAGAAGTGGGTTCAGGATGGAATACAGAAGAGGAGTACATCTGTGTATGTAACATTTAATTAATGTTAAATCTGAGTACATGGGTGTTTATTAGTGTTACTATATATTTGTTAGATGTTTGCTATATTTCACTAAAACAAGAGGACTCAGGAACATCTAGATTAATCTGGAATGATTTCCAAGTCATGTGAATGAGTAGCAGCATTTTACACTATGCCTAGTAAGTCTGATTTCTAGTCATTTTGTCCTCTATTCCCAAAAGTTTTTTGGTTCATCAAAAGTAATGCTTGAAGAGTGCTATCCACAAAATATTTTTAAGTACTTACCCAATAAACAGAGATAGTTGGGTTCAGTCAATCTGGATAGTTTTGTGACCTGATTCAAGATGTTGTAAAGCTCTGTTGGTTCACATAGAACCAAATCAGCCATCCTATAGGGAAGAATAAACGTAAAGCATACATAGCCAGGACTTCTGGTCAAGACGGTAGTGTAAACACAGTACTCGCAACATCCTTCCACAATCACATTAATCACATAAAGCATATTACCTCTTTCTATTTTAAACTAGAGGCCTAGTGCACGAAAATTCGTGCACTTGGGGAGGGGGGTCCCTCAGCCTGGCCTGCGCCCTCTCGCAGTCTGGGAACCCTCGGGGAATGTCCAACTGACAGTTTAGGCCCACTCCCCGGGGGATCAGGCCTAAGCTGGCAGTCAGTCATCCCTCTGGCAGCCTGGGAGCCCTTGGGGGATGTCTGACTAATGGCTTAGGTCTGCTCCCTGTGGGACCCTGTGGGGAGTGGGCCCAAGCCGTTAGGCGGACATCCATAGCACTGCCTCTCCTGCCACCACCCCTGAGCTGGCCAGCCATGAGCCAGCTTCTGACTGAGCTGTGGGCCCCCTGTGCAAGTTCACTGACCACCAGGGGGCAGCTCCTGCATTGAGCATCTGCCCCCTGGTGGTCAGTGCACATCATAGTGACCGGTCATTCCTGGTTGTTCTGCCGTTAGGGTCAATTTGCATATTGCCCTTTTATTATATAGGATGAGTGCTCAAAAAGTTAACATATTGAATTAAACTCTTTCTTAATGCATCTTCAGGAAAAGATTAAAGTAATCATGAACATAATCAGGAAAGCCTCAAAATTCTGTAGTGAGCCCTGGCTGCTGTGGCTCCATGGTTTCGAGCATGGTCCCTTACACTGAAACATTGTGGGCTTGATCCAGTCAGGGCTCATGCATGAGGCAGCTGATCAATGTTTTTCTTTCACATCGATGTTTCTCTCTTTCTCTCTCCTCTCTCTCTTTCTCCCATCTTCTCTCTCTCTCTTTCTCTCTCTCTCCCTCCCTCCCCCTCTCCCTCTCTCTCTCTCCATTCCCCTCTCTTTAAACCAATGAAAAAAATATCCTCAGGTAAGGATTGATAAAAATAAGAATAAATTTTGTAGTGAAATGTGTGTAGATAATAAAATATTGAACTATATAATAATATATAAACTATATAAATAACAACCAAGCTATAAAATAGTCAACAGTTCATTTGTTTTTTAGCATATAATCACCGAGCACCTACTACAAGCCAGGCACTGAAAATAACTGTGGTAAACTAGACCTACCTTCATGAAGGTTACATTCTACCATGGAATGCAGACACTGGACACAAAATACAAGTAAGAAAAGCACTATAAAAGAGTCAGTGTCCCATGAGGAGGAGCTAATGAGAGGACCTAACCTAGTTGCGGGAATCAGAGAAGGGCTGTCTGAGATGTGACTGCTAAGCTGAGACAGGAGGCTAGGCAAGACTTAGCCAGAAGAAGAGAGGGTGAAAAAGAAGGCAAGAACATTCAGTACCTGAGAGAGTTCAAGGAGACTGGTATGGCAACAGCAAGGAGAGAGTAATGAGTGAAGACCCTGAGGAGGCTTATGATAAGGATCATGAAGGTCAATATTGGGTGGAGAATTGCTGATGTGTACTGACAAAACCACCTGGCCAGCTTGGGCCCTGGCTCCTGACTGCAGGGATGAGATACTGGTTCCTGAGCATGACTGGTGCTCCAAGGACACTGAAGGGGAAGGGCTGGGACTGTGCAGCAGCTCCCTGCAGGGAAGCCTCCTTTTAGCAAGGGGTTGAGGCTTCAAGGAGCTGCCCAGCACCAGTAGAAACTGTTGGAGAAGTTGAATCCAGAGGTAGGTAATCTTGATCAAAACAGTTAGGGTCCACTTCAGTTACCAGTATGATGCTCAGGGAGAGCCCAAACCCTTGACACCTCCTCAAGAACTTCTGTTCTCAGCCTCCCCTCCATCAACTTCAACCTCTACACGGATCATTCATATTAGCACACAAACATCCTCTGTACCCATCTTTGTTCTCTTTACAGCAATACTTCTCAAAATAGTGGTGTTGACTCACTGTCTCCACTTCCTCAGCTCCAAACTCTGTACATCCTAATCATAGCTGTGCCATTTACTATGGGCTGCCTTATGGTGAGTAATTAGCCTCTGTGTGCCTCAGTTTGCATATCTGTAAAGTGGGGGTAATATTAGCTTTGCCACTTCTATAAAATGAGCATAATAGTACCTATTGTAGTGTGTGGGTTAATGAAATTACACATAAGGTATTCTGAGCAGGGAGGAAATAAATGCTCAGTAAGTGTTGGCTGTTGGCACGTTTCTCCCCTGGAGCTTCTAACCCTATCAAACCACAGAAACTATTCTTACCAAGGTCATCAACAATGTCCATCTCACCTAATCCATTAGTCACTTCTCTCTGTGCTCAAATGATGAAGTTTCTTAGCTGCATTTACCCCAGTTGAGCATTCCTCCTTCCCCAGTACTCTCCACTTCCCGAAGTCCACACACACACATACTAGTACTCTCCAGGCTTCCCTCCTACCTCTTGGACTGCTCCTGCTGTCTTCTTTTATGGGAGGCTCTATCTTTATGTAAGAATGCCCTTGGTCACAGTCACCTTTCTTCTCTAGCTATACTTTCATTCTAGGAAAGGGCTTCTCAACCTCAGCAGTACTGATATTTGAGGCCAATCTTCTGTTGTGGGGGCTGACCTGTACATCGTAGGATGTTTAGCAGCATCCTTGGCCTCCACCCAGTGGTTGCCAGTAGCAAACCTCCCCCAATCCAGCTGTAACAATCAAAAAAGTTTCCAGAAGTTGCCAAATGTTCCCTGGAAGAAGAGATATCAAAAAACCATTCATAGGATTGCTGCCACATCAACTTTTTCAATTGTCATTTTCTCCTCTTTTGAATTTGAACTCTGTAGTTAGTTATTGTTATACTGGTATATGGTTTGGGAGATTAAGGGTTTCTTTTTTGTTTGTTAGGATGCGCTGATCTGACATTTGACATGAAAACAAAGTGCTAGATGCTCTTGTTGACTTCCATCAATGAGATGGGGAAAATATAACAGTTCTTGGTAATGTCCTTTATAATAATGGTTTGATTTTTTTATTTCAAGAGAATCTTTTTTCCAATGCTTTTCCCACTTTTACCCAGTTTCCTTATCACTTGCTATAGATGGCTTTTGTATGCATGCACACTATGTTGCAGGTCTGTTTCATTTAGTAAACTGAAAATTATTGCTTAATTTTAAAAATGCTAGTTGAGAACCACCACTCTAAAATCTAGAGTCTAGCTGATCCATCTCACTCCTGTATACCAATGAGTCCCAAACTGTACCCCTGCTTGATTTCTCCACTGAGCTCGACTTCACTTGGATGCCTAATTAGCATCTCAAATATAACATAACCAATATTGGGCTTTTAATTCACACATGCCCACACCTCCAATGCATGTTTATCTTTTAGTCTTCTCAGTCTCAATAAATAGCACCATTATCCACCTAGTTACATAAGTCCACATCACTAATCCGTTTCCCT